GTGATGATTTGGGGCCAGAAAACTGTGACAATATGCGTCTATATCATGTAAGTAAAAGTAATGATATGTAAGATATTAAGTATACTTCGAAGAAAAGATAGAAAAGAACAGTTCCGGTTGATTAATATATTGACAAATAAAGTAAGTCTTAATACCTATCGACACATTTTCAATCGATTTAAATTCATTAGGATTTAATCAATATCAATAATATTCAATGATATACTCATAAATATTTAAAATACATGTTGGTATTGTATTTTAAAAATGTATTTCAATATCGATTAAAACTATTAAATATGATTGATATCGATTAAAACCTGATATATTTTAATTGATTTGAAATGTATCAATGGATATTAATATTTATTTGAGAAAATTTATCAATTGGAGTTGCTCTTTTGTATAAGTGTTTGAATTATATATTATATATTAGGTAAAATGTTAAAGACACATTATCTATTTAATTTTACAGGCTCATTTTTCTCCCAAAATGTGGGAAAGATATCCAGATGGCAAACTGAAATCTTTAAAATCAAATGCCGTGCCCACAATTTTTGGAAATCTGAGTGCTGCAACAGGTATACATATAATAAAACATACTTTGATATCCACAAATTCGTTTATCAAGATAGTGCAGTAAGTTTTATTTAATATTTGCATAATAAATAGGTGCATCTGAAATTTTCGTGGGAACAGAAGGTGCATTAAGTCACAAAGTGGATTCTGAAATGAGTGAAGTTAACAACGACATGCATGATGCAACAAGTATGTATAATAAAACTGCTATTTTCGTTAATTACGTTACTTTGTGAAGTACTTAATCACATGTCAAAATTTGCAAGAATATTATTACAATGTTTTGTTTACTTATTACAACTTCTATTCATATTATTAATACATTTACAAATGTTTTTGCAACAATAACTTTATTGCATTAATTTCAAGCGATTTGTTTTATAAAATTTTGAAAATAAATATAATTTCTAAAATTGCACATTAAATTTGTGTATCAAGACATTGTAGTAAATGTATATTTGCATAATGTGTTAGTTGTTTATGTGTGTTAGTTAGTGTTAATGTGTGTTAATATTTGCATAATAAATAGCTGCATCTGAAACTTACCTGGGAACTGAAGGTGCATCGCAGTTGAGTCACGAAGTGGATTCTAAAATAAGTGAAGATAATGATGACATGCACAATGCAATAAGTATGTGTAATGAAACTGATATGAAATAAATATATAATGTACATTGTAATTATATCAGTATATATACGTATATGATATAATGTACATTATAATGTACATAGTAA